ATTTTGGTCTTCACAATTACTTTTTTTTATTCATTAAAAAGACAATTACTAGGATTCGAACCATGACCATTTTAAAGGGAAAAAAAGATCATCAATCACACTAAGTACATTTGTTGCTTCTTTTTAAATTAAAAACATATAATCGCAGAGAGGAAAAACCCTTCCCCCATTTCAAATTTCCTGCTCTATGAGCGTTTGTAGGAAGGGTAGAATAGGGAGTGCCAATTTTTTTCTTTTTCCTCTGTGGAACGGGCCAACTTAATGTACACATGCGGATTTAAACGGGTCCAGGAGTGTCAATTTTTTTCTTTAAGTCCTTTTTTATTTTTCCGTGGTGGTAAAATATATATGAAAAGGCAAAAACAATACTCCTTTTTATTGCTAAAAAGAAAAACAATTAACAATAAACTAATGCATGAATTCTAATAGGCTACCCACTAATCATAAAATAAAAGAGTTGAATGGGCCTGACCTACACGGGATTTGCCCATCAAGTAAAACAAATGAATATCATGGGTTTGCCATTCTAAAACAAGCTATTTTCTCTAGCATAATATATATTATGCTATTATTTTATATCTTAGTGGCTAAAATATAATGTATTTTAGAGTTATTCAATGGTTCAACCTCTACCAACACAATTAGTCCAATTTTTATCATTTCAAATATATATTATGTAATTATTTGATATCATAATGATTAAATTATAGTGTATATTTTAGGGAATAGTTTGGTATTTGTTAGAAAAAAACTAAACAGAAAGATCTATTTGGTTATTTTTAACATTAAAACGATCCTAAACATTTTTAGTTTCCTTTCGACATTCTATATTTTTATTCCCGAATCAGTGATGTGCAAATGGCGAATTGCGGTAATATCTTTTCTTTCATTATTTTTTATTTTCAAATATAAAGTTTAAAAGTAAAGAATAATTAGAGTTTGGCATGGGTCGGTCAAACAGGCTGAATTTCAAGTTTTGGCCCATTTTGATCAAGTCTAATTTATAATCACATGGTTTCCTGATACCCGATAAAAATCTCAATCCAAACCAGTTTGGCAGGTGAGTCCGTGTTTACCACCATTTTCTAGGGATACAGGAACGGTGGTTCTTATCCCAAATCGTGTTGTTCATTCTTGATTTCTTTAGATTTTATCATGGCTTGGCAAAAAACCAGAAAGCACAATGATGACAAGATGAAAGTTTTATAAAGCAAATTAATCGGCCAACGGGCCGAGTAAAAGCTAGCAACGATTGTGAGATGCTCATTTCCCGAAAACCGGCGGGATAGGCGATTTTTTATTCGATTTTCTGGAATTTGGTTTCTATAAAACTTACTCCACCTCATCATATTACCAGAAACAATATTATTTCACAAGGTAACAGGTACTTGATTTTGGTTTATAAGGCTGATTTTTTATTCGTTGTGTCATTCATGTCTCTTTTCTACTAAAATTCACTATTTTTATCACGTGTTTCCAAATAAAAAAACTATACAACAATAAGATATACACCCTATTACATTATCAAATTTAATACCTCACCTTCCTCCGGCCAAATGGTCGGGGCCCACGCTAGTTAGTCTCATATACATAATAATTGAGCTCAAACAACCTTTGAGCTTCTTCTTTTTTTATCATACCTATTCCTTGAAGCAATTGTAACGGTTGTCAACTTATACTAATATCATCACAAAAATTGATTCAGTCTTGAGAAAGAATTAATGTCTCATTATGTATTTGGTTCAATTTAAGTATGATCTCTACACATATATTTATTTAAAAATTATATGATGTTAAAAACTAAACCTTTATCACATCAACCATATCAAAGTTGTATGGTCAATCACTTCATTTAAACCTTTTTCTATAATATTCTATTCTAAACCTTGGATTACAATTATTCAACAAATATTTGAGAGATCAAGGGTTGGAAATTTTTATTTGGTCGTAGAGTTTGATTCACGGTGAGTTACACCCACCGCCTGGCTAAATTGCTAAAAAAAGATTAGGAATAAAAAAGATAAAGTACAACAATTCAGTTTAATATGGGGAATAATCTCGTTGCAGTTGATTCGGGGCTCAAGATAGGCCCCATAATCTTAGAGCTCAAGATAGGTATGCACCCATCAATAACTAACTCTTGACCATTCATTTTGAAAATCCAGATTTAAAAATGGAGAATTAAACACCATTTTTATTTTTCATAGCTTTCTTAATCAACTCATATCTTCTTCGTTTTAACTCGGATTTCAATTTCTTTTTTCACAGATGGAACGAATTCGTTGTGCTCTACAAAACGAGATCCATTTCCAATATTTTTTGAGAAAAAAATTCTTGCCTCTCGGTACCAACCGCTTACCATATGGTATCTTCTTCGTTTTTAATTCGTTTTTGAAAACATTTGCACAGAAGGAACGAGTTCATCATGATCTATTGGATCTACAATTTTCTGGGTTAACAAATTACAGGACCAAAAAATACCACACAATACCACCTTGGTACGAGGTAGTATCTTGTGGTGCACAATGTTAAAAGTCGTAAATGGCAGTTAATATACTTCTACTATCATGTATTCAACCATCCTACAGTCTTGGTTTGCTCATACCACCATGGTACGCTTTTCAAACCATAGGTATAGTCTTATTTCAATACCAGTCAATAACATATGGTATAGACTAGTAAAAAATGGCTCAATTTTTTTTTGTTCCAAAAATATATCAAAATTGATATCATTTCGAAGTGCACATTTAATCTTATTTATCTGTGCAAACAAATTTAAATTTAGACTTAAAACGAAAGAGAAATCGTCCATTAAAGATTAAAGGGGAAAAGATAAAAGGCTTTCGAGAAGAGAGAGGGATGTTGATGTCATGCTGATGTGGACGAGTTACTCATGGTTACTCACCATAAGGTTACTCACCGGATCTGCTCTCTAATCTTAGGATGAATAACTATGAGTAACCAAATATGAACCCTTCTTTTAAGTGGCTGCAGATCTAAGACTGGAGAATTAAAGTAATTTATTTTTCCTAGTTTTTTTATTGGATCATATCTTCTTCATTCTAACTTGAATTTCAATTTTTGTTTTCCACAGATGGAACGAGTTTGTTGTGCTCTACAAAATGATATCCATTTTCAATATTTTTTTAGAAAAACAATTTCATACCTCTCGTTACCATCTCCATACCATATGGTCATTTTCGAAAATTTTTACACAGAAGGAACGATTTAATCATAATATATTGGATTTCAAATTTTTCTTGGTGAAAAAATTTCATACCTCTCGTTACCAACTCCATACTATACTATACCACCATGGTATGAGGTGGTATTTTTCATACCATATGGTATGCTATTATTTAATACCAGTCAATACCATATGGTACAGTCAATACCATATGGTATAGACTGGTAATAACTGATAAATTTTTTTTTGTTCCAAAAAATATCAAAGTGGATATCATTTTGAAGAGCACAATTAATCTGATCTAACTGTGTAAAAAAAAATTCAGAGTTAAAATGAGTGAGAAATCGTCCGTTAAAGATTAAAGGATGGAAAATTAAAGGTTTTTCGAGGAGAGAGAAGGAGGTGCTGATGTGATGGATTCTTATTGGGTTATGCACGGGGTTATAACACCACAAGGTTACTCACCGGATCTGCTCCCTTGATACGGGATTCTAAATAATTATTGAAACTAGCTTATATTCGACATGTTGGTCGGATGACTATTTTCGAATTATTCTGAGACAAATGATTTGAGCATAGAGGAAATCTAATCCCTCTATAATATATAGAGGTACTTCAGGAGATTTTGAACTCGAGTCCCTCCTTAATTGTAGTTAGGGGTAAATTTGTAAGTTCAACTTTGAACTTAAATATCTTCTTACGAGAAAAAAAATGTCATTACAAAGACTTGAACTCGAGTCCTTCAGATTGATAATCAATATCCCTAACCAACTGGACTACAACAATGTTTATGTATTTTTTGAATTAAAGAGAGAAAATACTAAAATATCTCAAAATCATAGGACTATCCACCGCAACAATCAATCATCGAATTAATTAATAACTGTAATTATTTACATAGTGAATCATCATGATATACCTAGCTTTACGAATCAACGGGTTAATTGCATGGTTGGTCACTGACATTACAAAAAGCGTTCATGTTTGGTCACTCGAAATATTTAAATCCATTTTTGGTCACTAACTTTACAAAAACCGTTCATTTATGGTCACTCTCTGTTAGCTGCCGTCCAACGCCGTTAACGGCGTCCATTAAGTGATGACGTGGCTGACAGATTCGCCTAATCATCACCTTTTAACCCGAAAATTGACTGACCCGACCCGCCACGTCATTTAAACCCTCCATGTCATCCAAACCTAACCAAACCAGACCCGACCCCTAAATAAAGAACTGACCCGACCCACCAATTAATCTACCCACTTTTGACTAAAACCCTAATCGAAGACAAATCCATCTGCCTCCATCCAGCCGCTTCATCATAGCAACCGATTCCAGGCCTCCACCATCCTCTTCCCACCCTCTTTCCTCCCCTCTCACCACTGCCACCGTCGTCGGCCCCGCTACCACTTCCCAAAACCTCACTTCATTCTCCATCTCCGACTCCCCATGGCGCCCCTCCTCCAACAAACTCCTCCTCTCTCCCAACTCCACTTTCGCCGCCGGTTTCCTCCCTCTCCCCGCTTCTCCCAACCTCTACTCCTTCTCCATCTGGTACAACAACCACAGCAACTTCTCCGGCGGCACAGAAAACCCAACTGCCGCTGTCGTCGTCTGGTCTGCCACCTGGGCCAATGCTTCCCCCCCGCTCACCGCCAACGCTTCTCTCTCCATCACCAACTCCGGCGGCCTAGTCCTCCTCAACACCGACGATTCGACCTCCAACCTCTGGCCTGCCGCTCCCTCAACGGGCTCCAATTCTAACTCTTCCACATCATCCCCCTATATAAACCGTACTAAAGTTGAACCAATCGCCATTCTTATCCTCAATCTCCAGACCTCGTCAAACCCTTTTCTCCCTTTTCTTGCAGCAGCAATGGATGTAATGTTTGCTCATCAGCAGTCGAGCTTGAATCCGAACGCGCCGATGTTCGTCCCCATGGCTTACCAGGCGGTGGAGGACTTCTCCGATCAGTGGTGGTCGCTCATCCAATCTTCCACCTGGTTCCGCGACTACTGGCTCCAGGAGCGCTACCAGGATACCCAATCTGATTTCTTCCTCCCCGACGACCTCGATTTCCTCGACGACGGCGCCGATTTCCTCTGCTTCTCCCGCGGTAAAGGTACTATTATTATTATTACTACTACTACTACTACTACTACTACAACCTAGGTTAAGCTCGCTGAGTCACGAGTTGTGCTTCAATTCGACTCACTCTGGATTGGGTTCTTTTTTTTTTTTTTGGTGCAGATGAGAAGGAGGAGGAGGAATTGGGGATGAAATGGGACATGGTGTCGGTGGGATCGACGAAATGGAAGAAGAAGAAGAAGAATGATCGACGAAATGGGCCGACGACGGTGGCGGTGGTGAGAGGGGAGGAAAGAGGGTGGGAAGAGGATGGTGGAGGCCTGGAATCGGTTGCTATGATGAAGCGGCTGGATGGAGGCAGATGGATTTGTCTTCGATTAGGGTTTTAGTCAAAAGTGGGTAGATTAATTGGTGGGTCGGGTCAGTTCTTTATTTAGGGGTCGGGTCTGGTCTGGTTTGGTTAGGTTTGGATGACATTGAGGGTTTAAATGACGTGGTGGGTCGGGTCAGTCAATTTTCGGGTTAAAAGGTGATGATTAGGCGAATTCGTCAGCCACGTCATCACTTAACGGACGCCGTTAACGGCAGCTAACAGAGAGTGACCATAAATGAACGGTTTTTGTAAAGTTAGTGACCAACCATGCAATTAACCCATGAATCAACTAAGTGAGTTCCTATAATTACAAAATTCTTCACCAAGAATCGAATAGTACATTTTGAGTTTATGTATGTCTTACAACTTTTCATTTATTAGGTTACATGACTTTGTAGTTTGTAGGAATACAGGGATTGTTTACAAAAGTGCTATACAAAATTTTATTTCAAAACATAAAATTTGAAATTTGTGATCTATGATTTTGTAATGAGACATTTTCAATGCTATAAGTGAATGACCAAAAATCATTGGCTAACAATTTCCCTAATGGTTGACAATTATAAGAATAGAATTGAAAGACTAAATACCATTGACAAATGAGCCAATTATCATAGGCTAAATTTAACAAACAATGGTATGTGTATATACATTGGAAATTCTATGGTACGCTCGATGGATTGAGGGTTATTGCATCTCTTTAGTTAAATAACATTATCTAGATCATAGATTAATCACGTAACTAAACCCTACATCGTAATTCTCTAAATCCTAATACAGTGCATATGGTATGTTGTATACATCTTGGCGAATCAGAATCATTGATTATGTTCTTAGTATATGTGATATTAGGGTTTAAGTTCTATTAATTTAAGGTATATGATTTAATTAGGGTTAATACCCTAGTTTGGCCCGAAGTTTAGCGTAAGTGACAGTTCTGGCCTCATTTTTCAAATAAGACATTTACGGCCTACTTTTGAAATTATTGGACAGATTTGGCCCGAAACTTGTGTTGACTGTTAATATTAACGGTCAAACATTTATTCCGTCAATGATTCAACATCCAGTGCTGAAGTGGCAGTGATGTGGCATGACACGTCATTAAATAATATTAATTTTTTTTTAATTTCAATTAGAAGTAAAAAAGTCCTCTCTTAATATCCAATCTCCAAAACCCCAAATCCAACCCTAATCTAAATCAACATCATGTTCAATAGGAAAAAGTGTCTGGCGACACATTGGGAGCGGCGCGAAACTTCCCCTGCCCCGACCCAATTCGAGTTCCCCAGCCAGTTGCAGACTAGGTCTTATTCCCCGGCGCAGATCAGCACCTTGACCCCGCTCTCTAGCAACTCGTTTATCCCGACCTCGAAATCGAGCATCTAGTCCCCCGTCATAGCGTCGTAGACCTGGCTGCTGCATGAGACGAAGTGGATGTCGTCTTTCACTCCCACTCTGATTTCACCGTATCCTTGCTCATGAAGGTCTCCTAAGCTTTCTTCTCCTTCTCTCTGAACTTCTTTGAGCTCAAGATCCAACTTAACAACCAATCAGATGCCCCTCCCCAACTTTCCCATTTCCACCCCAAAAGCAGCTCTCTTTTAGCTACCTAGGGAAAACCCAAACTAGTAATTTCCACCGCACAAAAGAAAAGGAATGGATCTGGTAACGACCCACGACCATTCCCACCGCCGTTCCACACCAGACACTTGAGACGATGGTTGCAGGGGAACAAATTGATTTTGATATTGATGGGAATTTTTTTAGGGTTACGTTTATGCTGCCGACAATCTGGAGAATGGATTGGAAGATTTGGTTGCAGGTTTAGAGGGCTTCCTCGTAGGAGTCGCCGCTCTGCGGGCTGCAAGCATCAATGGTTGATTCGCGGGGCGGGACGAGGTAGCGACGATGGAGTCGCGGTCGGACTGGGAGATCAGTTTCGCGGCGAGGGCGAAGTCAGGGTAGGCACTGTATTGATGCAGGGTCGGTGAGGCCATTTCCGATTGCGAATCCCCTGCCGTAATCTCACCGAGAAGTTCCCTTGCATTAGGGTTTGGATTTGGGGCTTTGGGAGATTTGGATAATAAGATGGGATTTTTTAATTTAATTAAAAAATTAAATCAATATTATTTAATGACGTGGCATGCCACATCACTGCCACTTCAGCACTGGATGCTTAGTCATTGACGAAATAAATGTTTGACCGTTAATATTAACAGTCAACATAAGTTTCGAGCCAAATCTGTCCAATAATTTCAAAAGTAGGTCGTAAATGTCTTATTTGAAAGCTGGGGCCAGAACTGTTACTTACGCTAAACTTCGGCCAAACTAGGGTATTAACCCATTTAATTATTTGAAACTTAATTTCCCTTTTCAAATTTCCTGCAATGAGGGGGAAATTAGGAAGGATATTTTTGTCTTCACAATTATCTGTATTTTTTATTTATTTACAGAAAAAGATAGACATATTGAAATTTGAACCATAGTCATTTCAAACAAAGTGAAGGTTTAAAATCAATAAGACTATTCAGATTTGTTGTATTTTTTTTAAATTAAAAATATATACGAAGCTAAAATATGAAATCACAGAACTTTTCAACAATTAGCTAGCCCAATAAATATTCCGTAAGTACTTATTTGGTGTTTTGATACTTCGATTTTGATATTTTTTATTTTAATTATAGTTTAATACTTAATTTAAAATTTTTATCTATCTTATAAATAGACGATAACCATAAATTTGCAACCAAAATATTGTTGGTTCGAACATTTCATATCGAATTATATTACTGAATACGTAGAAGTGATATAGAATTCTTAAATTACCATTAATTTACAGAACTATAGTGAAGCAATCATTGGACTGGTTCTCTGAACATTTTTGCCCGGTTACATACTAAGTTTTGAAACTCTTCCTAGAGGTGTACGTGGGTAGGTTCATTTGGGTTTAGATATTTTAATCACCATGATTTTGAAAACACTAAATATAAACTCACCCAAATAATTTAGAATTTTAACGGTTTGTGTCCTCCATACCAAATGAACCAATTTACATGTCGCTTAACTAAGGACGATCTCATTGTCCAATCCCATCATTCTAATGTCAATCCATAAAAGTAACCCATATTCGCTTTTGTTAACACGTGTTTCACATTGTCATTACTGTGACCGGTAACTTCGCTGCAACTGATTCGGTATTGCTCATCATATGGCCTCCAAACTGATAAACATATCGGGCCAGCAGTTTTATGACAAAACTCAAAGTGAAGACAACTCATTGTCTGGTGGAATTTTGGCGCTTGTTGGTGTCCATTAATCTAATTGCAAACATAATGATTGCTAAAATTAAGCTTTCACGCAACACACTAGAAGTTTTTTTTTCCGGTAAGTACCACACACTAGAAGTTGGGGGGTGTGAACTTGGAGTAAAAGTTGATATTGGGTTTGGGAAGGGAAGTGGTGAGAGGAAGAAATCGTGTTTGTATTTGGTAGCAGGTAAAGTTCATGGTTCAGTTTCTTTTCGTAAAATGCTTTGATTTATTTTAGTTAGAGGTATAATATCATGGTTATGTGGGATCAAATGAACCAAAAATGAGCTTGGGGGATGGGAATTCCAACTTAGAAGGAGTGGATTAGATTTTGATAAACTCAAGTTCATGATTAACTGAAAGAATATTTAGATTTAGACTTTGTGGAATTGAGATGTTCATAGAGAGTTTAAAACTGATCCAAGGCCATGGATTGATATTGGTCAGTTGATTGTGATTTTGAGGAAGGTGTATAAGAAGTCATGGAAGTAGTTTGCGGCAGAAGGCAGTGAAGAGGCAGTTGGTCAGGGTAGTGATTGAACCAAGGAGGGTATTGAAAGACATAGAAGCAAAATCGGAACAGTTGAAGAGAGAAGTGGTAGATGATTAGGATATTAATGAAAATGGAGAGGGTATTGAAGGGCATGGAAGTGAACTGGATCAGGTGAAGACAGAGAAGGAGGAGAAGAGCATATTGATGGAATTGAAGATGAGTGTTGGTTTTACGAGCTTATTAAAACTGCCCCAAGGAAGATGAGTTGGCCAAATACAAGAAAGAGGATTGAGGAGTTGGAGATCAAGCTGACAAGAAACTCAATTGAAAGAGAAATTCAGGTTCATGGAGAGAAGGTCCATCAAAGTAGCATAAATGGAGTTGCAGAAGGAGGATTATGAATTGAATTTTGGTTTAAAACATATATGTCGAGAGATTGAAGATGTAGGGGATGAAAAGTTGGTTGTACAACGGAGAGTGGAAACTATTGGATCTTTAGGTGTTATGGTTGTTGCAACTATCACAACCTATGTTTATGTTAAAATGAGGAATCATTGATTGATTTACTAGAGTTAAGGTCGATTCACTATTCAAACTACTGGAACCTGTAGATAAGGATTGTCTAATTTTGTGCCTCATTACTCTGATCGAGTCTATTAGTATATTGGATGTAACTCTAATTTTGCCATTTGCTCTCAAGTTTTGATGGTCTCCTTTTAGTTGAGTTGTTAGCATATGATTTACTTGAATCAACAACTCTTGATTTCTGTTTTTTTTATAAATCCATTTCTTTTTTATTAGTGGCATGTTATTCATAGAAGAGAGCTTTGAACCATTTATGTGGGATTGTGAGGTTTCATTTAAGTTTCAAACTATCTATGGATCGTGTGGGAATTCCAATGAGCTTTTATATTATATATTTATGGACAATCTATTAACCAATATTATTTTAATGGGGCCTCAATTATCATTATAAAAATGGGATTAATGATACATTTTTATATTCTGAAATGAGGAGGGTATTTCCCTGAATGTTCGACCTATATATTCATTCTTTATGTAGCATCGCGATTGAATGATTTTCAATAAACTTAAATGAATTAATAGACTTAAACATAACATAAAAATATAAATATTAAAATATGAACATTACAAATATTAAAATATGAACATTCCGGCCAACGGGACGGTTATAAGCTAGTGAATAGAAAGGGAAGTGCGAAAACAATGACATGTGTTCTTGAGATGTGGATAGTATAAAGATTTAAAACACTATGCATTGCAATCATCCAAACCTCCAAGTTTTCTATTGGCAAAATTTGTAATTAGTGTGATGGAAAGCATCTTCAATATTCACTAATTCACCATCAGTAGTGTCATCGGTTACTTGTGGTGAAGTTAGAGGGGGAAATCTATATTGTCATGGATTGGGAAGAAGAGTGAAAATATGTTAGCAGGCATGAAAACATTATGGGTGTGTGCGATTCTAAAGTTTGAGTGAAAATATATATTAAATTTACCATATTATCTAGGCAGTTGTCATTGTTTTTGTCGATGTCTTCCCTTTTTCTTCAATGATACTCAATAAACAAAGTTTGTTTGCAGTGTTGGAGTACCTATAGTCAGTAAGCTTGATATGCAAATTAGATTCTTTACCTTCAAGCCTCAAAATGCTAGCAGGCGATGAGTTGTCTTAACTTTGAGTTTTGTCATAAAACTACTAAGCCGATATGTTTAACAGCTTGGAGGTCACATGATGAGCAATACCAAATCGGCTACAGCGAAGTTATCGGTCATAGTAATAACAATGCAAAACATGTGTTAATAAACGAGAATATGGAGTACTTTGATGGGATAAACCTTAGTTTAGCGACATGTAATTTGGTTCGTTTGGTGTGGAGGACACCATATTTGACTCATATAAACTATAGAAAGTTAAACTATCGCAAATAATATCTATGAAACATCCATACTTGTCTTCTATACAAGACATATGCATAGTCCTGACACCTAACCGTCAATCTCACAACTAAAAATAACCTAGTTGAGTAAACACAAGTTAGTGTTCAAACGCGAGGTTGAACACCTAAGCTAATGAGCTGCAACCTGCAATGATGTTGAAAAGGAAAGCATTTTATATGAGACTTCCATGTCCTGACACAAACTTAACATTTGTGTTTATATTTGGTGAGGCCGACTTAGCTGTTGCGGGGTACCTCTATGTAATGTAACACCCGAAGCATATTGACACATTTAGGAAATGAAAATGAAAGTTGGAGTGAAGCAGGTGAAAAGAAGATCTACATATTCATAAGTGTGACACCCAATTAACAGCTCTATGCTCAAGCGAATCCTCAAGGCAGCCTACTTCTATTTTTGATTTTTTCTCACAAAAGCACCATCATAATTCCATGATTAATTCATACCAACATTACTCCTAAGAGGATAACCACATGAAGCAGTAAGTTTCATTCTCAATGTCTATGAGGAGCACATATCTTTTCACACATTGTGGTGAAGTGGTTTTACAATTTCCACAATAGGTGCAAAACTTGGACCGCAAGAGTATAATGCGCACATATTGAGTGCTTTAGGCACACACGAGTGAGATTGGTATATGA